AACAACCCAAATGCCAGATCTGTGATGACTACCGGCTTATAAGGTTGATCAATCATGCCACTAAAGCGGTCACTAGGATCATTCATAGAAGAATATAAATATGATAAATGTGAGTCAAATATTGATAGATCGCAGTTTGGTTTTCGGAAAGCACTTGGAAATAGAGAAGAGTTTTCGCTCTCCAGGTGCTTATATAGCGGTGTAGAGACGTTGATAAGTACGTGTATTTGTGCTTTGTGAATTTTAGAAAAGCATTTGACAATGTCAATCATGAACAAGTTATAGATATTCTGCGAAAGACAGGTATTGACGACAAGTCCATTTGAATTGTGGCAAACCTATACTGAGGTCAAACAGCAAGAGCTAAAATTGGCAACGAACTCACTGGAAGTGTGCAGATCAAAAGAAGTGTCCGTCAGGGTGTATCTTATCCCCACTACTATTCAATAATGATAAATGTAAATGATAAACGGCTAGTTAACGAACAATATAAGATATGCCGACGGCACGGTGATTCTTGCCAGTACTATAGACGAATTACAACAGGTAATGGAAAGAGTTTAAAACTTCAAGAAGACAAATTGGATGCTGATAAGCAAAAAGTATTAACCTGCTTGACAATTACGGATAAGTAACATAGTAAATGACCTTGTAGAATCTTATCTGTACCTTGACACAAATGCAAAATGGGAACAGGCCGCAGAAATTAAGGCGAGAATGTAACGAGCTAGAGCAGCATTTAACAATATGAAAAAGTTCTTCATAAGCAAGGATTTGTCTCTTCCCCTAAAACTACGTCTAGTTAAATGCTACATTTTTCTTATCTGACTATATGGTGTGGAGGCCTGGACGCTGACAGAGACGCTCACGAGAAAACTGAAAGCATTCGAAATGTAGGTGTACTGATGCATTCTTCGTATATCCTGGACCGAACATGTTGCCAACATAGAGGTAATCCGAAGAATCGGAAAGGAGAAAGAAATCGTGAGCACAATTAAACAAAGAAAGCTTAAATATCTAGGCCACATATTGAGACACGATAAGTACCATCTACTGCAATAGATTGTCCAGGAGAAAATAGATAGTAAGCGAGGGCCAGGCAGGAGAAGACACTCGTGGCTCCAAAATCTGTGAAAGTGGTTCGGGCTCACATCGGTCGAACTATTTAGAAGCGCCGCAAACAAGATCAGAATTGCCATGTTAATAGCCAACATTCGCAATGGACAGGGCACTTGAAGAAGAAGAAGACTACTTAAAGGAGAACACATTAATGTAGACGAATAAATAAATATTTTTCAAAAAACAAAAATTTCGGTGATTTTTTGAACACACCTCGTATGTACGTTTTGGTATTTCAATATCTTCAAAAAGCAGTTTTTAAAACAATAATATATATCGACCGTCGGATTTCAATACGAAGTTTAACCACAATTTTATTCCTTATGAATTTTTGTTTACTGAAAATGACATATGAAATAATAAAAAATAGAAAATTTAGAGTTGAACCAGGATATGTTTTTCTGAAAATTTAATTTTCCAAATTTTCCGCAACTTTTTTAAAGTCAAATTTTTCGTTGTTATGACCTGTGGGTATGCCTTTTTTGCAGATTTCTTATCCTGAAAACTACCAAACTTTCAAGTGGCATGAAGGAGAAAATCACGGATACTGACCTATTAACATTACATTTTTATGTCATAATACCACCCTTATGCTTTCATATATTTTACTCTCCTTGATTTCAGTTTTCAGTACTCTTTAAGGTATAAGGAATGAAATTGTAGTTAAACTTGGTCGAAAATCTGACGGTCTAATATTACCATATTCCACATCTTCTGGTAATTTTCGCCCTAAAACAGGGACCGAAGGATATAGCCTTAGAGTCTCTTTTATTACTAGTTCTAAATATTTCATATCCTGCAACTGAGATATACTGGGCTTCGCATCTTTCAAGTTAGCAAACATTTCCTTTTGCTCCATAAATGCTTTTTGCTGAAAGAGAGAATAAGGATAAAATTATTTTTCGATCTTTGGTCTGTTTGCCATTATGCTAATTTCAGTACTGATTTCAGTACCAAAAATATTAGTTAGTTGCGCGAGTCGACTTGCATGAAAAGCATGCAAAATGTGGGAAAAAATGTGGAAAAAGTTGTGTTTGCTACCATCTTAATTTTTATTGGCAAGTAGCTACCAATTTTGTATTAATATTCTAACAATGAAGTTTGTTTTATGATTAAAGTAAACAAAACACACAGGTGATTAAATACGGTGAAAAAAGAAGTTATAATTATTTGCAGTAGCTTTGATTGTAATAATGATGCTTTAAGAAAAAAAATCATATACTCCTTAAAAGAGCGTATGTGGAGAAAAAATGCAGCGACAGATGAGGATTATGCAAAGGAACATTAAATATGGTAAATGAAACATTATTAGTAGAAGATCCTTTACATATTAAAACTTTTAAGAATAAACAATAATTTGTTTAAAAAATTATTACGATCAGTAGAGAGTAACATCACTTTAGGTAATATTTCATCATTTTTGGTATAAGAAATTAGAACATGCTCTAATTTTTAGTACTGAATCTTTATTAATTTATACAATTATTTTATATTAACTTCTTTATTAATTTATTATTTCCTTTATCTCCAAATTCGTTTTTTCTATTTTTTATTAAAATGTAGTTGGCGCCCTCTCTCTTTTTTTCTCTCCTTTCTGGCCCATAGAATAAATATTCACCCTCTCTCTTTCTGTCTGGTAGACTAAATATTCTGTTCTGTTTTGACAAAAAAGCTAATTCTATCATAGGAACCTATGACATCTATGCTAACTCCATGCAGTCCCTTCCTATTTTCTCTCAATCACCTTTAATGGTGGTATTATTTTTTGTTTATAATTGAAATTATTAAAAGAAGGCAAGGCATTTGTTTAAGGCACACTTGAGATACTAAGCTAGGCGAAGCATAGACGATAAGCTCCAATGGTTAATTGGGTGGATTTTTATAATAGTACTTCAATTTTCTTTGGTAGTCTTATCGCTACACATTGGCGCCCAACGTTACTTGTTTTATTCGAAGAATTAATTCAAACAAATTCAAACTCGGAAAGTAAAACGAATGTCTCCCAAAACTTTACAACAACAATAGTTAGTGCACAGAGGTGCCACCTACTTTGGTAATCGTGAACGAGAACGATATAATAATATTGTTTTCTGTTTCCTCTGGGATATGCGAAATGTGTAAAAGAATAAATCTCCTGGCAAAAGCTGCTATCGTTTTAATGAAATAAATGGCCAAATATATGGCTTAGGAAGACAAATTCGTTAAAATTCCCGACCAAAATGATTCATAAAACTTTATTCATACCGATTCGAGCATGTCGTTTTTCGCACCCATTCAACCGTAGTTTTTTTTATGTTTCTGTCAAGTTATCTTTTGATGTTGATTACCAATAAGCTTAAGCTTCCTATTATGATCTGTTAGGTCTTGTATCTGATTATTCAGGTTCAAAATCTATTAGCAGATTCAAAGCTTTTAGTTCTCGTTTAAGTCATTTGTTTGGTAGAATCTCCAGTCTACTGCCAACTTCTGTAGATGAAGAAAAATTGAAAAAAGCTATCCGCTATGATGTGTTAAAATTAGAGGCTACTTTGTCTGATATTGTTAATCGACCTGATATCGTCGACCAACCTATTGCATCTATTAAAGTCTATCTAGAAAATCTTAATTATTCTTAATCTTCAGGGTCACCTGTTAAGTCTGTTCCTGTTTATAAATGGGATATTAAAAAAATCTAGTAAAGAACCTCTAATTTCATTTCTACAACAGATTGAACCTTTAAAGTTTTCTAGGAACTGCACTGATAAAGATTTATTCATCTCTGTAAGAGATTTATTTGAAGGTGCTGCTTTTACTTGCTAGCATAATCATTTCACAAAAAAATCTTTCAATTCATGGTCTGAATTAGTTGCTTCCTTAAAGAAAACTTATTTACTTTATAACATTGCGAACAATTATATTATTACGAACATTATTCTCTAAAGTCAACAGTTTTCGAATTATAAGCGATTTAAAATTTGAAAAAAATGCACAAGTACGTATTTTCGAGGCTTGAAAACTCGTATGTAAGTTATTATTTTTGAGGTTGCCAAGTACTTTAATTAACGATTACACATTCATTTTTAAGATTATGAAAAGTAACCGATTATTAAGGCGTCGTCGCGCCGCACGTAGTGGTGCGTCTCTGTCACACTTATACATATTATACGTACACTCTACTACTAAATTTTGTAATTTATTATTAACATAGTAAATGTTAAAATCATGGATAAAATTATGGATAACATCCATAATTTACAATATTGGTTATAATCTGTGTAAGTGCGACAGAAACGCATCATATAGTGCGGCGAGCCTTAAAATTTTTGAAAGTGAATATTTAAACTTTAATTTAGGCACTTGGCAACTACAAAAATAATAGTTCACATATTTCAAGCCTAGAAATGGGCATTTTTGCATTTTTCTGATTTTAAATCGCTTATAACTCGAAAACTGTCAACTTTTTGAAACAATGACAAAAAACATTTTATTGTTTAAAACAAAAAGAAACATTATACAAAATCTTAAAAAAATTTCCGGACCACAAAAAGTTGATTTTTGGAATTTGTTTACAACAATTGTTTAAACAATTTCTGTCCAAAAATATCGCCCGGCACCCTTTAGATTTGTTTAAAGAGGACATTTTTGTCCGCAAGAACAAGAATCCGCAAAGAAACTGATTCAGAAATATTTTTCCTATGGGAGCAGTCTCACAGCATGGACTAAAAGATACCTATGTTTTACTTAAACGTTTTAGTCATTACAATATAAATTTTAACGATTAGTGATGTGAAATAAATTATTCAGAAAAAATTTTTTTTTCTATCTGTTCAACTGTTTAAGTAAATAAAATCACACTTTTAAATTAAATTTAGTACAAAACAATAAAAATATAAAAAGTTTGTTTATTTTACCTGAACTTCGGGATTGTTGGCCAAAGAAAAAATTGCAAAACTAATGGCAGACGATGTTGTATCGTGACCCTATAAATTAATTGTATTATATAAATATATCAATATTTTAATTTGAATTTTTAAAATCTTACATGGTACTTTGCAAAACATACAATATTGGAAATAAAAGCTATATTTGTTTTTAAACCAATACGAATAAACATATGGCTAAATGGGAATTGATTTTTTTTTATAGTAGTTATTTAACATAGAAGACAAAAAGTATTAGACTTTATTTGGAGATTTTGCTGTAAAAAACTCAAAGCTAAAATATGATATTTTTCCCGCGTAAGACACAATTTTTTTGTGTGACAAAAAACGGCAATATAATATTAAAATATATTAATATAATAATATATCTATTGAGGCCAGAAAATTATCAATATGAATTTTAAATTAGTAGACTGTTATACTTTTAGCGACAATTAGACCTGCGTTACTAAGGAAACCTTTAAAGTGATCAAATATCTGTAAATTAAATTCTACGATTTGATTTCAAAATTTTGAACTTATTAGATGTTTAGTAGTTTTTTTTTTATTGAAAATTAACGTGTTTGGCAACAAAGGCCACTTACACGAAAACGGTTACAAAACGGTTACAAATGTAAAACTGTTATAATAACAAAATTTACAAAATTAACAATAATTTACAAAAATATGTCATAGAGTACACACTACCACAACACAATCAAAATTATATTTTATAAAATAATTGAACGTCTTTGAGGTATTTAAGACTTGAGGTTATTTGATCCAAGTTATTGAGTATGTCTTTTAGATCACTTTTAAGGCAATAAAATAGTCTTTTTGCTGAATACTGATGACATTCGGTGAGAATATGGTTAACTGTTAGATGTGATTGACAGGTCTCACAAGTGGGTCGGTTGCTGGATGACATCAGGTATCCATGTGTTAATCTTGTATGTCCTATTCGAAGTCTTCGTGTTACAATGGCGTCTCGTCTGGACATACCGGCAGAGGTCAAATCAAGGGGGCTATTGACTTACTGTTGGATTTGATGTATTGCTGAGTTACTGTTGTCCCAGTGTTGTTGCCATCGGGTTCTTGCTCGTTTCTTAATGTGAGACTATAAATCTTTACTAATTTGTATATTAACCGTATTATCAGCTGATGCTGAGGCAAGTTTTGCATGGCTATCTGCAAGTTCGTTGCCTGTAATACCAATATGGGGTGGTAGCCAGATCAATGTAACTGTTATTTTTTGGGAAGCGATTAGTTGGTAACAATCAAGGATCTTTTGGACAATAGGATGATCAGTGAATATATTTTGGATAGATTGTAATGAGGCTAGTGAGTCTGTGCATATTGCTACTTGTTTATTTGGAGAAGAAATGGATTTGATAGCTGGAAATATGCTAAATAGTTCGCCAGTATGAACGCTACAAAACGAGGGGATACAAGATGATGTGATAAGGTTATCTGACGTGGTAACAGAACAACCTACTCCTGTATCATTCTTTGAGGCGTCAGTGTAGAGTACTGTGTCGTATTTGTCTGTAAATATAATTTCTTTAAAATATTTTTTAATGAGTTCCCTGGGTGTTGTAAGTTTATCGAATCTTGTAAGCGATGTCTTAAACAGAGGCATGATTATAGACCAAGGAGGATATGGAGGTAGGGGTCGTGGGATTGTTTCTGATAGAGAGATGTTATTAAGTAATTGTGTTAGAATTAGTGGCAAGGGTTTTATTGATAATGATTTAGAATAGTAATGCTGGTTGTTCGTTGATGAAGTAAGAAGAGGATAAACTGGATTGGAGGTATTGGATGAAACGGAGGCAGCATAGGAAAGTAATAATTGTTCACGTCTAATCCAAAGTGGGGGCTGATTGGCTTCGCAATATAGACTTTCTACGCGACTAGATCGAAAGGCTCCTAAACAAATTCGTAAGGCTGGATGACGTATTGAATTTAAAAGGTTAAGGTGTGTTTTAGAGGCAGACATATATATGTAACAACCATAATCCAGTTTGGAGCGGATGATAGACCTATATATCTTAAGCAGGGAGTTCTCATCTGCGCCCCAATGGTAGTTTGAAAGAGTTTTAATAATGTTGAGTCTCTTGTTTGCTTCACCTTTTATTTCTAGTATATTTTGTTTCCAGGTGAGTCTTGAATCAAACGTTACACCGAAAATTTTGCATTCCCTGACTACTGGAAGATTTGCTCCCTCAATCATAATATTAGGGGTTAAGAAGGGTGATAGTCTACTAAATTTTATTATTTTTGATTTTGTATGTGATAAAGACAGGCCTATAGAGCTTTTATTTTTAACTAGTGTATCTACTGCGGATTGAATAAGCTTAGAAGTTGTAGAGATAGATCGTCCGTGGCAGTAAATTATTAGATTATCTGCGCATAGGACATGCCTAATAGGAGATATTATATCAGAACACAAGTCGCTTATTGCTAGGTTAAACAGAGTTGGGCTTAATATTGAACCTTGTGGTACGCCGTCAGTTTGATGGTGAAGTGATGAAAAAATGCCATTGACAGAGACTCTAAGTGTTCGTAAAGTTAAGAAATTTTGTATAAAATTAAAAATGTTATGTTATAATGAGAAAGTTTCTTCAGTATAGATTGCCTGCTAATTGTATCAAATGCACCTCCAATATCAAACACCGCTGCCATGACTTCTTGTCTCTTATTGAAGGCATCGGAAATATGGCTTAAGTATATCGGAGACGTACAAGATTGTATTGAGTAGAGAGATTTCGTCGAAACCCTGACTGTTCTTTTGGAATGATAATATATTTGTTGAAAAACCACGTAAGACGTTTGGTGATCATTTTTTGAAGGATTCTGCAGATGGTACATGTTAGAGATATTGGTCGATAAGCGCTGGGTGATTAGCGTGATATATTGTGCTTTTTAATGGGTATTATAATTGAGGTTTGCCACTGTTTAGGAAACTTGTTAGATGACCAGATTAAGTTAAGCATTTCAAGAAGTTTAAGCTGACCTAAACTAGATAGTTTTTTTATAAAAATGTAAGGAATATCGTCGGGGCCGGAAGCCGTGTTCTTAAGAGTTTTAATAACCGATGTAAGTTCTATGTAAGAGAATTGGGAATTTAAGTAATCGATATCTTTGACAGTTGCCGAAGAACTTGGGAAGGGGTCATCGGTTATTGGCTCGATTTGAGTGAATTTAATTTGGCTTTTAAATTTCAAATTGGTCGAAGTGACTGGCTAAGGTTTCACCAATTTCTTGACTGTCACTTATTACATTATCATTCATAATTAGACTAAATATTTTAGTATTTGTATTGATTCCTTCAATTTGTCTTATTTTTTTTTTTCAAAGAACAGAAGGACTGGTGTTTTCATTGATAGAAGATACGTAGTTTCTCCATGACGATTATTTACTTTGTTTTATAGTAAACCTCGACCTGGCTCTAGCTTTTTTAAATTCTGTGAGATTTTCTGGTGTTTTATTTTTCCGATAATCTCTACCTTATGTTGTTCTACGGAGATTTTGCAAGAATTATTCCACCAAGGAACCCTTTTATGTTTGTTTGAAATAGAATTTTTGCCAATATGCAAATTGGCAGCTAAGAGAATCGTGTTTGTGACTAATGATAAATTGTAGTCAATATTATTGGATAGTGTGAGAAAAGGTAAGGTGGTATCTGTTTTAGCAGTGTAGCTTAGCCAGTCAGCATATTTGAGTTGCCAGTAGCTTTTTGATATAGTTTGTATAGAGTTGAAGATATTAGTGGATATAAATATAGGGTAATGATTGCTATCGTAAAGATCCTCAGCGACTTTCCAATTCAGAAAAGGTGTGGATTCTGGATCACTAAAGCTAAGATCTATAGAAGAAAATGTTCCAGATGAGAAATTCAAGTGTGTACTAGAGCCTGTATTTAGAAGACAGGAATGTGTACAATTAATTACATTTTCAACAGTTTTATAGAGTAATTTGTGGAATGTATACGCTACAAATAGTAATCTTATTAGGACACCAAGTGGTTATGGCGATAGCCTCAAGTTCAGTGGTAAGAGGAAGGTGCGAAGAAAATTATTTAATTTTTTCTTTGCAATCTTGTTATTTGGTTTTTAAAGGATCTCTCTTTTGTTTGTGAATGAAGAAGAGACAAATCATTAAGCAATCCTTGGATATTGGAAGTGAAATTAAAAGCTTCTGTAAGTGGGTCCGGTGGGCCATAGGTAGTTTCTAGGAAAGCTATAAATTGATTTTCAGTAAGAGTTAGTTCGGATAAGTTATTTTTATAGATAGCGTGGACTGCATTATAAGAAATTGGTGTCAATTTATGTTCTTCTGTTACTATTGTTTTACTTTTTTTCTTTTGCGGCTTGCTGTCAGAATTAATGGTAGATTTTACAGATAAGGGGGGGGGCATTTGATTGATAGTTGGGTCTGGAGTAGGAGCTGGTGAAAGTTGAGAAGGGGTGCCAGCATTACTGTCACAGGATATAGCCCGTTTCTGTCTCTGTACTGGAGGGGATGCTACCTGTGTAACTGAGGGGATGCTTTCTGCCACATTATTTATAGTTTCAGAGTAAGATGTGGATGGTGCATTGATTTGATTGGGAGTGTATTCTGGTATCGTTGTATTTGAGGGTATGGATACGAAGGTAGTGGGAGAGGGAAGTTCGGATTGGGCTACAGAAATTGGTTCATTGGTACAAGTTTCCGCAGTATGACCACCTTGTTTACATAAAAAACATTCTAATTTGTCAGTAGACACAAATATTCGATATGAAGTGTTGTCGTGAGTTAATAAAAGAGAGGTCTGGACTGAAAAGTTTTCTATATCCGGAATAACGTACGATACTCTTCGGAAGCTTATTATATGTGCATTGCATATGCATCACCTAGCGAACCACATTTCACGAATGATACAGGAGAGACTATCTGTAAACCGATACTTTTTAAAGCTTCTTCGATAGTGCTGTGAGGTATCGTGGGAGATACATTTGATATGAGAATACGCTTAGCAGGTGTTATAAGTCTACGGATAGGAACAATTGTTGAGTTAATAGTGATACTTTGGTAAGCACTGAGAAGATCGTCGATTAGTTTAACAGAGTTTAAATAAATACAAATACGGTTATTGGAGATTCGGGACGCAAAGATGATGTTTTTAGGGGTAACGATGTCTCCTATAGCTTTTATGTACTCAAATAGAACGACATTAGGAAGAGCATGTAAGATAATGGCTTGATTTTTATAAGGAAACGTAGGAGGTGGAGGTTTAGATAATGTGGCCGCAACATAAGACTTAATATTATTGATTGTGTTATTTTGTGAGGTAATTTGAGTAGTAATTGAGGTCATTTTAGTGAGCGGTTCTGGATACCAAAACTACTACACATAAATTTTTATTAATAATGCTACAGACGTCCTAGAGGACTCTGTGGATAAAAGGATTAAAAATAACAGATTACCTGAATTTTGTAACGCCACTGGAAAGTCAAATTTACCAATGTACTTTTGAACTATTAACGATAAATTATTGTTTCGGTGAAATTGTCACATATCGCTTTGTATTGTTCTGAAGCTATTTTCTTGTGGCATTGTAAATTAATTACTATTAAACTGGGAATAAGCCACAATTAAAGATAAAAATACATTTATTGACGTTTCAATTTCCACTTCGGAAATCGTTCTCAAAATACAAACAGTAAATTAAACAAATTTTGTTTTTTGTTTCATAGTGAAAAATTTTTCTAATAATTTAATTTTATCTGACTCATTTATATTGACAATTCAGACATACATTATGCATTTTAAAGTAGACGACTTTAAAATGATATTGCCAATATTGTTGAGTTGCGCTCCTGGGACGACTTTACTTATAAGATAGTTCATTCGATTACATGAAATCAACTTTAACTTGAGAATATCCGTCAGAAAAAATCATAGCATATAATTCGTCTTTAAAAAGACAAACACATGACATGATGACAGTAAAATTCTCCTGTTAGTGATTCCATAGTAAATTATGAGGGAAAACCAGGAAAAAACCTCATAATACTATCCCGACATTGTAAGTATTTGTTCGTGAATTTAGTTTACCTTCAACAAACATCAAAATTCTGATTTTATATGTTACGTTATTTAAAAAACATAAATGATGTATCCTCTATATGTTACTGACTTACTAATACTGGTATTTTCTTATTAATAACTTCCTCTTTCAATATTGGTAACCAGATCCTACTACATTCTGCCGAAGAATTTGCGACACAATTGGCCTCATTTAACATAATTAGAGCCGCTTCTTTGATTTTTTCTTTTTTACCATCCGTTTCTTTTAGGACTACATTTGAATTACTCCATTGAACCCTATGTTCATTATCCCATGCGTGTTTACAGATTTGAGATCTATCAAATTCTTTATTTTTAATATAAGATTGATGTTCACTTATTCTAACATTTAATGGCCTTGATGATTCACCTAAATAAAACTGATCGCTTATCAATTCAAATAAAATAAAGAATTTGATAGATCTCAAATCTGTAAACACGCATGGGATAATGAACATAGGGTTCAATGGAGTAATTCAAATGTAGTCCTAAAAGAAACGGATGGTAAAAAAAGAAAAATCAAAGAAGCGGCTCTAATTATGTTAAATGAGGCCAATTGTGTCGCAAATTCTTCGGCAGAATGTAGTAGGATCTGGTTACCAATATTGAAAGAGGAAGTTATTAATAAGAAAATACCAGTATTAGTAAGTCAGTAACATATAGAGGATACATCATTTATGTTTTTTAAATAACGTAACATATAAAATCAGAATTTTGATGTTTGTTGAAGGTAAACTAAATTCACGAACAAATACTTACAATGTCGGGATAGTATTATGAGGTTTTTTCCTGGTTTTCCCTCATAATTTACTATGGAATCACTAACAGGAGAATTTTACTGTCATCATGTCATGTGTTTGTCTTTTTAAAGACGAATTACATGCTATGATTTTTTCTGACGGATATTCTCAAGTTAAAGTTGATTTCATGTAATCGAATGAACTATCTTATAAGTAAAGTCGTCCCAGGAGCGCAACTCAACAATATTGGCAATATCATTTTAAAGTCGTCTACTTTAAAATGCATAATGTATGTCTGAATTGTCAATATAAATGAGTCAGATAAAATTAAATTATTAGAAAATTTTTCACTATGAAACAAAAAACAAAATTTGTTTAATTTACTGTTTGTATTTTGAGAACGATTTCCGAAGTGGAAATTGAAACGTCAATAAATGTATTTTTATCTTTAATTGTGGCTTATTCCCAGTTTAATAGTAATTAATATCGCTTTGTATTTACACACATAACGAAATAACGATGTCCATTGATAAGAAAACAATAACAAGAAAAACTAACACGTTTTTACTGATAACAACTATCGTTGCTAGGATCGCCTGAGTTAATACGACTTTACTCGTCGGCTGCTTAATTTGGAATAGGTTAGTAGTTATTTGAAATATTGTGAAGTAAACAAATATCTCTCTCCAAATGTTCTTTTCTGCAAACTCTACCGCAGTTAGCAGAATGACCGGAATTAGTGAAATGATTGCTAGCTAAATAGCAAAAAAAATGACGAAACAATAATAGATATTTCAAACTAATTATGATTTTGAAACAAAATTGAAAATGTTATAGTCCCAAGAAAGCTGCGATTTTTTCTAGAACACAAATTATTAATTTTTTTAATAAGGTTCAAGTTAGGTTCGGTTAAAGTCCTCTACCACTCTTGTCTCCCGAGTTGGGTACGTGCCGTAACCCCACACTTCTAATGAGGAAAGGGTTTATGAGGTTGATTCGTTCTGTAAAATGAGAGTAGAGTGGTCCCACGAGAGCTCTTTTCGGATACTAGAAGTGTAGACCGGTGACCGTAACGCCGAAGCGCCCAGCGTGTTGTTTTTACAAACCCGACACCTCAAACAACGGCTCTCCACTTCTTCATTCCTTCCCATTAGTCGTCTCTTACGACAGGTAGGGATATATTGCCCCGGCTGTATTATCACCTCCGCAAGCAGGACGTTGAATAGATGTGGACAAGACCCATTTATGAGCCCTTCAGGCACTTAGAGCTCCTAAGATGGGTCCATTGCGTTACCCCTATATTCGCCGAGTTAGAATAGACCATGCAAGAATAACTCATCAATATTTAATGACTTACCAAGATCCACCTACATGTACACACTGTGGTACCATTCTATAACGCCGTCTATACTCTCGATGGATGTTCTTCGGACGAAGTGTCGAGGTGAAGTTAATCGAGGTGAGGTGACTATCTACATACTCGTGAAGTCGAGTAATGTAGTGTGCCATTCCATATTCGAACTTCGGGTGCTTTGATTCGGATGCGAAAAATTGACACAGAACGGAAGTAGAACGAAGCGAAGCGAAGTCGCATGAAGTACCTGTCTACACTCTCATACTAGCTAAACTTCAATCAACTTCGCGAGTAGTATAGTGGCCGGTTATCTGTTAAACATATTCTCGTATACTGTATTCACTTCAACAACAACAGAAAAAATAACCTTCTGTTAAAATATAAATGTCGAAAACTACAAAATATTCTTAGGTTGCCAGATAAATTCCAAAACCTAATTAATTGCCTCTATGAAATCTTCTTCTTCTTTTTTTATGTAGACATGACTCTGCAAGAGCATGTTAAATGTGTTAAATTTTATTGAGTGTACATACACCTTCATTCAGAAATAGCAACAGGGCAATCGGGTTGTGGGCAATAATTAGTTTTATAAGGTAATGGAAACAGTGGCTAATTTTCTTCAACTTCAAACTGCAAATTCATGTACAGGTCATTCTTTACGAAGATTGTCGGCTAAATTTTTATTTGCATGTAGGAAAGATTTTTAATTATTAAAAATTAATCATTTTTTTAAATACATTTTATTTTAGTGTTCTCCATTATATCCAGGAGTTTGACTGGTTTAAACGGCATTATTTCAGAAAAAAATATATTAAATTGTATGGTCTGTTTTGAAAATATCTAAAGAAAGAAAAGAAAAGAAAACCTCATCTTTCCTATTAGAGACTGAGAATTAATATTGTATTACGTTTTGAAAATTAAAATATACATGTCTCATAAGATCTTTTATTACTTTATTATTTTTTAAAATAAAACGTAAAGTTTTCGTCGCTATTTGCCGATAAATAGTTTTAATTTGTCTTTGTTAATCCTAACTTGTTTTAACTTTGTTATTAATCAAGATATTATGAGATTTTAGTTATACCGGTTGGTGAGTAAATCAGAATACTGTAAAATATTTTTTAAATAAAAAACGCCAAAAGTTCTCTATTTTCAAACAGACGACAAAAAATATTACCATTGTTTAAAACAACGTTATTACTACGATTTTCAAATTTAATTAAACATTTTAAATTATGCCTTGAAGTAATCAAAATTAAATAAAAATTACTAAATATCTTAAAATTGTATGGGAATCTCTCTATAAATCTTTTTTAATCTATATGATTTACATACAATAGATCTATTATTTAAAATATTGTTAATATAAACGTACTATATGCCTAAATTTGATTTACCTCAAACATGAAAGTATCTACTTCCTCCCTAATGTCAGTCCTTGATAAAGGTTTTCCATCCACTGTACAATTTAAGAGTAGATCCAAAAACGCCAGCTTTTTCTTTATACCAATGTTTGTGTTATTATCAACTGCACTATCTTTTGTTTGCGTTTTTTCGGATATTTTTTTGTCAATAACGTTGTCAGTGTGTGCGTGAAGTACCTTTAAGGCTCTCTTTTCAAGATAATAGTTTAAAGTGAAAGGATACAAGGAAGGATCTAAAGGAGATAAAATTCGTTTCATCATTATGTAGCACATCGATTTTGTACTTCTGACATATGGAGACGTAGAATCCGTTTGCGCATTTAATTTAATCCCCATGGCAGCCTCTGTAAAATAATTTTTTGTTGATAAAAAAATTGTTTTAAAATTAATACAAATTTATCATATACACCAAGCAAATGTTTTAATTTTTGTAGTTTGGAGCATGAGTATGTAATTTTTGGTGTTATAACAATTTTGTTAGTATTTTTTAAATAATTGTTTATAAGTTTATGTTATAGTAAGCATTATAAATTTTTCTTAATCGCAATAAATATGATGATCGTTCGTTCAAAGACAAATTAGTATTTCAGGTATCGATTATATTATTGATCAAATAAAATAAATAAAAAATAATTATCTAGTCAAAAACCCTCTTCCTCCTTTGACCCTGCATCTCATTATAATTTACTAGATTTATCGATCAGGTGACCTAAATTACCAATAAGAAAGTCTTTGATGAACCCGGCCCATTAAAAAGAGATGCAGGGATTGCTTTGCGTCAGTTTTCTCTGTCGCACTGGAGGAACGGGCTGGTACTGCAACTATCAGTCTGTCTTGTATTATATGTCTATGGTATTAGCACATGTAAAGGTTAATGAAAAGTGGAAATGTCAAATAAAGTAGGTGCAATTTCTTTTAGTTTTTGCTCTAGAAACGTCGTGCTTGCTCTTCTGCATGTCACAAGAAAGGGAATATATCAGTTCCAAAGCAGTTAGGATTTCAGCTTTCGTTTAAAGACGGCGCCTTTTGTATGTTTACAGGTTATTCCTTATAAAACTGATTCCTTGTAACAAGTGATACTTTTCGTCCGTCAGCAAGTTAAAAATTTGCAAATGAGTGTACCTACAGGGTCTTCCAAAAAGATACGGACTAAATTGGGAGATTCTGGAAAAACATACATATAAAACTAAAATAGGTAAGTATTTAGACATCGGAAAAGCTGCCATTAGCATAATATGCTTCAGCGTGAATAATGCAATCATATATGTAAGTATCTAATGCATTTTTTCTTTTGTAAATATAATTTAGAGTATATAAATCTAAGTTACGAAATTTTTTCGTGGTCAAAAGATTTAACGGGTTATCATAAAAGGACATAACACGCAATATCATGTATTCACTGTACAACAGGTAATAGATAAAGCCTTAAGGACAAATAAAGGAGTATACGTAAGTTTTATAGAAAGATAAAGCATTTATTTCAATCGAAAGGAAAAATATATTTGAGAACCCATGATACTATGAACTTCTAAAAATAAACCCACGCGCACGCGATCAGTCTATCTCGTTTGCACGTGTGACGTCACTTGGCGACAAATATCACCAGAAATGTTCTGTTTTACATGAAGTTTTGTCAGATTTAGTATTGTTTTATCATTTATCTAGTACGTTGACAAATAAATGTGTGCACTTTTACATAAAATATATTTCAGAATATTAAATTAAGATAAACTTTTATCCATGCGCATCGACGTACAAAATTCGATTGCGAAGTGGTTTTATCTTGGAAATCATAGTATCATGGGGAAAACCTAAAAAAGAAACAAGTAAGAAAAGACCTGATAAAAACAACTAAAAGGATATATATATATATATATATATATATATATATATATATTATATATATATATATATAAAGAAATTTAATTTTTGCAGATAAGTTAAATTGTAAACTCTTAAATATTGGGGAAATCTGCAAGAAAGACTCTAATGAGTATCAATTGTTTCGCCGAACGTTTTCGCAAAAGAGAATTAATTTGGCTTCTTTATGAAAGAGAATAAATTATAATTTGGTACCATATAGTATCTATTAAAAAACATTATTGATCTTACCGTAACTTAGAATTTTTAATTTTACCATGGGTTTTTCGATTAACCTTGGGTAAACCTTTGCGTTTTAAGTTTAAAGCTACCATACATTTCCAACGTTAAAAAAAAACTTTTTTTGCATTTAGTAACAAAAAACACCACTATGTTGTACTAGCTAAGTTTTTTAACATCCTAACTGAACAATTCAAAGCGCAAGGTAAATATGAATTTGCCGAAGTCATCACCAACCTCCATTAGACACAGCATATAAAGAAGAAAATAGTAGATACAGAAACAGCTATTTGTGGAATACGTCTTTGTGGTATGAGAGATCAGCAGGACGTGGATTCAATGAAATTGCATCTTGTTTGATTATTCTTCTAGATGCAGGCTTTCTGACTTTTCACATTTTGCTCTAATTCACATTTAAAAATATAGTCTGATAACTGTGTCACCAAGAACAAAAGTAGACTCATATGCTGTAAAATCTCCACCAATAATCTTAACTCTGGTTGGAGATCCGTCATTAAGAAAATTCAATTGAAAATCTGAAATTATATTTTTGACAATTCTTTCTCTAGCATCTGTATAAGAGGAGCCCTTAATAATATTACAACTATTAAAATCGCCCACACTAATGCGAGGTAATGGTATTAGACTGAATAAATCCTTGTACATTATTTGGCGACTGGAGGGTGAGCAAACGATACAAATAAAATACCTGTTTGTTGATTGTATTTCTACAACTACAACTTTCAGATTTGTAGTTACTGGAAGTTTTTTCGAGGTTAGTAATTCTTTTGCCAATGTGGCTACACTGCCTGAAAAAAATTATTTGGTATCCTATCTTTGTAAAGACAGTCATATTGATTGGAGTTATATTTTTTGGGGAATTCAGATTAGTTACTGGTAGGCATATTACATCTTGGAAATTGTTCACCAATCAGATGTTGGAGCATAGCAAGACAATGAAAAAATCTATTAATATTCAACTGAAGTAGAGACTTGAATCTTAATATTGACTTTGGCCACGTACCTAAGTGGTGGAGGCCATAAAACGCAAGAAGAAGAAGAAGAAGAAGAAGTAATATTGACTTAATTGAGATGTGTCACTTTTCCAGTCCGATACCCCATTACCAAGATAATTATAGATTTTTTTTTTTTTAGGGTAAATTATTAATAAACATAAGTTACCATAACATGGTTTTGTTTTATTTATACTCATAATGGCAATTATGGCTCTATATTATATAATTTATATTATAGAATTATTTATATTTTATTCCTTCACATTCTGTGTATCGTTTTGTAATTTCTATAGTAAGGCGTTGCTAATTAAAATACTTTAATAAATTTAAATAAACTATATTGTATAATATTATTATTACGCACCACATATAACATCCAGTGTGTAGAGAGATACGAGATCACTAATATCGACACTCATTTTGCCAACTTCCCTTTGAAGTTTTTTTATAAAAATATCTCCTACGCTGTCAAAAACGTCAACAAAGTTTTCTAGAATGGAAAAGTGGAAAGCAGGGGTAAGCATACGTCTTCGCTTTTTCCATTTTGTGCCTAAAATAAAATAACCGATTAAAATACATTATTTTAAAATTAAATAATAAATTTAGAATCTGTGTTAACAAAAATGTTAATCTATGTAAACTATATCTTACACAAATGTAAAAGAGCATAATATTGGGACTATACTCTGACAAAAAGTTAGAAAGAATCATTTATAAATGTAATATGATGTAATAATTATACGAGATGCAAATCAAATTCGCCGTTTACCAATACTAAAATCAAAATATGTTCACCACATTTTGATAGCTTTCTGTACATTTTAATGGGTACTATGCGGTCCTTGGCAATAAACCAGCTTCAACAACAAACATATTCACGATACGTTTTAGAAAATTAAAATTTGGTCAGGATAATTTATCCAAAGTCCTAATTATTTACTCTTTATCAGTGCCATTTCATAAAGGCATCTTAAAAGTATTATCTACATGGAAATTTGAATTCATTTAAGACATTAAAGTTAAACAATGAAAATGGATAGATAACAACGTATTTTTAAATTTAGTTGGATAAAAAAAACAAATAACAAATATACCGATTATTAGTAAAAACATTTTTGTTTAAAATTATCTGTATTCTGGATCTTTAAGCTTTAACACTCTACCAATAAGTGATCTATGGATCCCAGCCACTAACCCCTCTCTTTTGGCGTACTGCCCGTATGTAGGTATATTTAATACACTAGCGTATTTTATTCTAAGAAGTAGACTATTTAGACTGTATACCATTATCTTGCAATTTTGGTTTTCTGGCCAGGGTTTAAACTATCGATCCATTATTCACAATGAAGTTTGGTCGGCTTGCCTATCTGACCCACGGTTTTATTTTAGTTGTAAAAATGCCTTTTATTTATTTTAAAAAGGATAATAAATAGTTGAATAGATAATACGGCCATTTTTAACTGTTTTGCATAAAAATATATATTACAACGATAAAAATGTGCCTTTGTGTGCCCACAAAGGCAACAAACTCTTAAATAAATATTTCACAAGACTAAAAACACAAACTCCAAAACTTAAAAAATCACATGTTGTATACGAGATACCATGTACTAACTGTGAAGGTGTCTATATCGGTCAAACCAGTCAACTGCTTCAATCCAGAATTCGTTCTCACAAATACGACAAGAACAACGTCACTGCGCTCACAAAACATGAAAGCGGGAAGAAACACAAATTTGATTTTGAAATAATCAAAATTTTAAAAACAGAAAAAAACAAAAAGAAGAGGGAGATATACGAATCAATAGAAATAAAAAGAAACACCAACGCAATAAATGACAAAAAAGATACACAAAACCTAAATAAAATATATTTCAATCTGATTTAAACAATAATAATATAACATCATAAAAAGCTCTTGAAGTCATACATAATATCTCTCACCTGAGAATTGCAATGGAAAATAAAATCTAGTTTCACATGTAACATATCTTTATTGAGCCTAAACCCAAGAAACATTAATTTTATATTAAATATAATACGGTTCAAGAAACTCAAAACTACTATATATATATATATATATATATATATATATATATATATATAATATATATATATATATATATATATATATATATATATATATAAATATATGTATATATATATATATATATACCTTTTACAAAGGATTTTCAATAATTTTTTTGAACGTAGATTCCTTGTGAAAAAAATAGATCAGTTGAGAAATGCACTATATCTAGACAGCTGTAGTGATAATCAATTATGATAAATTGTGTAGGAAGTTTTCAAAAAATTTAGTTTTCAGTCTTTTATTGTTAGAACAAATTATTTATTTATAAAAATATATGGTATTATTCGAAAAACAAAATGAAAAATGAAAAGTATCTGCTTTGTTAATAGAAAACAGTTATAATAAAATAATGCCTATGTTTTTTATTATTAATACCTAGTATTTTCTTGTAGCATTGCGGTAATTAAATTTTGAACAGAAAGTTGGTCCAATTTGTCCCGTATTGTCTGAAGAGCCTCACTAAGCTCAGGCAAGTTGACTGGGCGGGTTAGCCCAACATGAATTTGTCTTTCCAATATGTCACATAGATGTTCGTTTGGATTGAGGTCGAAGCGAAAGCTAGCCAATTCAAACACATAATCTCGACGTCATCCAAGTATTCACTGACAATTCTATCAGAGTGGGGATGGGCGTTCTCGCCCATAAAAATAAAATTAGGTCCTTTAAATGTATCGAAAAGTACCACATGTTCATCTAAAATGATTTATATACTTTGCTCCTATTATAAAACCTCCATCCATAAAAACTAAATCAGTACGGGCGTCGGAATTTATACCAACCCAAACCATAACTGAGCCTCTTCGATAGGTTATTCTGTCGAAAATATTGCATTGGAAAAATTGTTCTTCTTGTATTTTCCATATTTTTTAAGACCATCTAATGATCTTAAACAAAACCTAGACTCATTCGAGAAGTAAAGATTAGTAGAATTTGCGTAATTCCAATTCCAGTGGACATTGGGCTTATCTTCTGGATAATAATTTTGCTTCATGAAGTAGTCAACGAACTGTCCACCCACTTTCATCCATATTTTGGACGTCGTTCAGGAGATTTGCTAGCTCAATTAAAGTCTATTTTTTAAACACGAAGAGACCAAAAATTGATCAGCAAGCTCGGAAGTTGCTTTCCTACTGTCTGATACTAATCTTCTACTGTAGTTGCCGTTAATATTAACTGCGACTATGTTGCACTAGAGCCACGGCTATTGCTGCATCCTTTGGTGTTAAAGTCATTTTGGTACAATTAAAAATTCTCAACTTAAATCTGGTTGTTTAGACAACGGGAAAAAATATTCCCATGAGATTTTTTTTTGCATAATCACTTTGATAAGATATGAAAGCCCAATAAAAGGTTCAAGAGGTGCCCAGGCAAAAAGTTGTTAAATTATTTTTTTAACAATTAATATTAAACAAATTGTAACAATTAATTTTTTTAGGGTCGGATAATTTTTTTTTGAATTTTCTAAATAAAATAAGTGTCTAAAAGTTTTTTTGTAAACTAGGTTGTTAATATAATTTAAAACAGAAAAAACGCGAAATTACGATTTTCAATGCTCAAAAACACAATTAAAGCAATATTTTGGAGCTTAATCAAGATATAACTTTAAGTTCAAACCTTGTTCTATCAACTTTCGATAAGTAATTTGGACCTATTTTATTTTAAAACATTTTTTTTAATCCTTAATAAAGCGCTTATAAAAGGCCGTCTCTCGGGCTGTTGCGTGTACAAGAGAGAGAAATAAGATCTAGGGCACACATTTTTGCTGATTTAAATTCTCTTTGTATAAATGAGTACTTTCCCTGCCTTACGTGCTTTATTGTCAATTAAAAATTATCATTTAATAGTTATTTATGCACCAAGGGTGTTATTAAGATGATTACGCCCGGAGAGCAACATAATCTAGCCAGATGGACCGAAAATGTGTGGTACAAGTGGTACATACAAGATTTAACTTTTACTTCACATAATATAAAAACTAAAATTGAGACGTTTTTACTTTTTATTTTATTGTACCGACAATGCAATATATCTGCATATTTTGTATATAACTCTGGTTGTTACCGGATGATTACGTTCATCGTTTAACATTCATTCCTCTGGCCAGAGGCCCTCAGAGCAAAAATGTATGCCCTAGATCTTGTGTCACTCTCTTTACAAGCTGCGTTCTCAGCGCCCGTGCTGTCATTAGCGCTTCATTAACGATTTGAAAAACAATGTTTTAAAATAAAATACGCCCAAAATATTTATCGGAAAATGATAAAGCAAGGTTTCAAATTGAAGTTAGGTCCTTGGTGAATTTAAAAATAATATTTTACCTTGTGTTTTTTTCAGTTTTAAATTATTTATAACTCGAAAACGACCAAGTTTACAGAAAAACTACTAGATATTTATTTTGTTCAAAATGATTCACAAAAGAAAATTATCTGGGCCCATAAACTTTTTGCCTGGGCGATCACTTGAACTTTATTTTGGGTTACCTTATGGAAGTGATTATGCAAAAAATCTCATGGGGATATTTTTCCGAACGAGCCCCAGATTTTTGCCTTGTATAGGTAAAATCAGCATAATTACAAATTAATTTCTTGCTGATTATTGAACGTAAATATTTGACAATAACATAGAGTTCTGTTGTTTAGGAGAAATGCCACAAAAAACTAAAAAATACTGTATATATGCCATATAAAAAGTAATAAGTTTTAACTATTTTACCTGTACTCACTAAAAGTCCCTCGCCTAACCATCCTTTTAGATAATCATATTGGTCAGCTTTATCAATGTATTCCATCGAACTTAATATGTGTTCCACGAATTTTTCATCTGTGGCAATCAAGGCCACACTAAATGGACCGTCATAAACCTTGAATAATTTACCATAGACTCCAATAAATCGCATCAAAATGTCCAAATACTCTAAAAAGAATAATAAGAAATAATTACAACTATAGAATTTCTTATTCAAATTGGAAAACCATTACATTAAAAGAAATATTTATAATACAGTTTTATTATTTTTTTTAAAGATATAAAAGAAAGGAGTTCAATGAGATAAATAAAAAATGTGGGGTTTTACATTACACGTTTATTATCAACCAAGAAACAAAAACAATGCAATTTATAAAACATTTATAATATTTATATCATTTAGATGAAACATAATGTATCATTCAATATAGCCCTTATAAAAATCCTTAGGAGGCCAAGAAATGGCTTATTTCTACGGGTTGGTTGTGACGTATTATTCTAAATCCTATTTCACTATCGTTCGCACAACATGTAAATTTTGTAAAGTTGGAAAACTTCCGAAGTTGTCTAGAATCAAATGGTATATCACCAAAAATTATTTTTGGCTTATCAAGGTTCGGCCGTATACCACATGTGGCGTGGGCTAGGTTGCTATTAATAGAATACCATCTTCATTATTACTCAAATTCCCCGTTGAATCTAGAAATCATATGCTTAACTAAATTATGGGATCTATGAAGCTATTAGCATTTAAAAAATTATTTTGAGATCCTTCGTAACCATGGAAGATGTAAACCTATTAACACAGTTTTCACAAATGTATCATGTATAAGTAACATGCTTTTTTCAGATATTTTCTTCAGTTCCTCTTACAAAGCTTTGTAAATAACGAGATTCATCTTTTGTTACGTCGTCGTATATGTTTTAATGTCACCCGGAATATTAGTTTTTTTATTTAGAAACATACCATCCAATTACGTTGGGGGCTATTAGTTAAGTAAGGTTCCCGAGAATGCTATATATTTATGGATAAATTTATGTAAAAAATGTATCCAAGTGTTGTTACGCCACTGGTAACAATTGACTTACACGTCTTAAATTCGACCTAGGTAATTTCTCCAGAAAATTCTCATGAAAGCCGAAAATGTATTCAAAAGATATTTTTACCCACAGATTAACTTTCTCCGATCAATTCACATAGACTTCAATAGGTGGGTTTTACCTAACTGTATAGAAATATCAAATTTGTTCAATGCCCCCTGCAAATCCCTTTAATAGTCAGGCATTGCAATCAGAATTTTAAGTATTTTTCGTATAAAATTGTCTTCCAGCTCGGCTGGTTGCTTCTTGTTTTAGAGTTTTATCTCTCGCAATTTAGTTATTGTTACAAAGTTTATGATTAAAAACGGAACGTATACTTATTCAAGTATCGAATAGTATCACATCTAAGCTGGTCCCTTCTTGTTTAGAGTTTTTACTCTCGCATATTAGTTATTTTTACATAGCTTATAGTTAACACTCTTATTTATTTATATTCATATTAAAGAAAACGTCCTTCGTTAAAGTCATAATTATTAGTAACATTTTAATCTGTATCAGTGCGAGTGTAGTGTGTCGTTCGTGTAAGGTGGAAAGTGATCGGCAGTTTCAATGAAAGAACTTGCACTAGAACTTGGCTAGATATTATCTTAGTTGTAGTAACATTCAGTTATTAAAATACGTATTTTTTAAACTGCTTATGTCTTATTTCTCATGCCAGTGGGTGGTCCTTCAAGTTGGAAGTAATTACAAGATTTAGTACGCTATAATTGGTAGCAAGATCACCGTCCTAATTTGTTAAACAAATGTCCGTTTAATTCTACCAGTTTACAAAATTTTTTAAAATAATTTATTACATGCTCGTTTTTTACACTTAAGGTGGTTTTGATGTCATCTGAGATTCCATATTTTCTTATTTTTTGTTCGTAGCACTGGTTATCAATTAAAACATGCTTCACCGTCAATCTAAGAGCATTTATGGGTTAGGACAGTATGTCCAGTTCTTATTATTATTACTTGACCTCTTCTATTTAATGAATTATTTAAGATGGTCTTTACAAAAAAAGAGATTTCATTTAGTTTGGTTACTGCATCTTTCCAGTAGTCTTGCAATATATTCATACAGTGAGCTTGATTAACGTTTTTAAGATCAGTGTACGGGCAATTTCTTACCTTTTTTACTCTTGTTTTCTTTTGTTCTAACGTTTTAGTTTATTCGATATGTGTTTGCTGGGTTGTCCACTTCATCATTTTTAGCTATTCCTACATGTGACGGTACCCAGATAAATGCTATTTCTGTTCTAAAACTCATTCATATGATTGAATTATAATATATATATATATATATATATATATATATTATATATATATATTATATAAAACTTCTTTAGAGATGATTGAATTATATTGAACTTTCGTGCAATTTTTTATTGCCCGAATTATTGGATTCAAGTTTTAAGACACCACTAAAGATTTGGAGATAACTAGGATTCTGAGTTTTCACAATATGAGTAAGTTTGAAGTTATTTTTAATTAAAACTCTGGTATAGTGCCATTACATAAAGTAGTCAGCTTGGATTTTAACACTATCCTGTTATGAAGCCAATTAAATGGGTTAATTTTTTTTTCGTTTTTTAATTATTTTTTTATAATTGCCTCCAAGATATCCATATTTTAGAATTTTTAAAATTGAAAATTATTTTACACTGTTTTAATTTTATTTTATTCGTCGTTCAGTAAATTCTTAGTGGTAGTTATTAGCTCCCCTTCTTAGTAATTTTCCATTCGGAAGGATGTAGTAACGATATGCCATATTGTTGTTCACTGCCGTCTATTTATGTTTCCATTATTCATATTGTTGGAATGAAACACGAGTCATGATTTTATTACTAGATCCTATCATGGCGATAAAGAGCTTTCTCTAGATGTTTTAAAAGCTACATTACCTTTACCTATTTCGCTCTATAAATAGATAGTACGTTTTCTTAATTTTCACTTATTTTTCCTGACAGTATAATAATAACATATCTTCTTGTTTATTTGTTTCTCCACGATTTCTTCTACTACCGTTTTCCTACACCGCCATTAAAGTAGCAATTAATAACAAATTTTAAAGAATACAACGGAAAATCAACAAAAAAACAAGATATCGAAGTTGGATAAGAAATTATAATTATGTATTGGCCACATACTTTACATAGAACATATCAAATAATATTTACTCTTTAATTACGTCGATCACACTGCAATTTATTTTTTAAGATCTTTATAGTTTTGTTAAAAAGAATTAATGAAATACGAAAGATTTACTTTATATGTATAATTTACCTCATAATTAATACATGTACTTACTATGTGTTGGTACAAAGGCAAATTCCAATAAATTTCCAAAAAACATATTTGGCTTAGGACCTGGAACTTTTTGCATGTATTTTGTATTTCTCCATGATAACTGATAAAAGTAAAAGGCAGTAAATAAGAGAACAATAACTCCAAGTCCAATCATGGCCTAAAAGAATTTTATATATAGTATTATATATATATATATATATATTATATATATATATATATATAATTGATTTATAATATAATTGATAAAGGAATTAAACAATTCCGAAAGCAAGACCAAAAGTCAAAAGAGTGTTTCTGTAACATCCCGGCCAAACTTCTGACTACAGCCCCAATAAACTTTGTTGTTTGTTTAAATTGGCAGTCACGAATATCCAGTATTCATTATATATATATATATATATATTATATATATATATATATATATATATATATATATATATATATATAATATATATATATATATATATATATATATATTATATATATATATATATATATATATATATATATATATATTATATATATAAATTATGAATTTTGAGGATGCAGTCAGTTTATTTGGCCCACAAGACAAAGAAAACTCTTTGACTTACTGTCAAGCTTTCGAATTTTATTTAATTCTTTTTCAAGACATCTATAAAAAGAAATATAAATTAACTAGTTAAAATTGTTAATATTGTCTTACTTACTAGTCGTGAGATTACAGTTGTTACTATTATTATACTTTACAAAACAAACCATTATTCGCTCCGTGCGTGACCATGGTAGGGATACATTGAAACGATGCCAGCGTGCGTAGCGGCGAAATATGACAAAATGGGAATATTGGACAAATATGAAATACGTAGGCTTCCACGGCCAGAGTCAGAATTATAGTTTATTCGTCTTCCGGGTTTGGACCGTGTCATTTGTGAGTGACCCAAAGTGGGTTCATCAAGATGAACCCACTTTTGGGTCACTCACAAATGACACAGTCCAAAACCCGGAAGACGAATAAACTATAATTCTGGACAAAATATTTTTACGCATAAATTTTATCAAAAATGCGTGCAAATACACGTTGCGTATTTAATTGTGCTAATAATAGCAAAAATGGTGATTGTAGTTTTCATAGGTTCCCAAAAATTACATATAAATTAGAAAAAAGAAAAAGATGAATTCGTGCTATTAATATGAAAAAGTAAATATCACATAGTTTCATTTTTATGCAATTGAAATAGAAAAAATTTAAATAATTTACCTTGAATGATATTTCATAAGGCTACAAGCTAACTACAGATGACTTTAGCTTTTATATCCTAACTTTTACTATTATTGTTTTTAATTATATGCTCTTTTGCGTGAAAAACTTGATTTGCCAGTACTAGATTTTTCTCTTTCTTTTCCGTTTTTAGTTGAAAAGGTATATTAAGATGAATTTTGAGAAACCCAGTTTTTAATACTACATTTATTTTGTACATAAACTTTAAAATATAGCTAAAAAACTAATTTATTAATAATTGTCAATTTCGCATGTATTTAACAATGTCAAACATATGTCATAAGTTTAACCTGAAAATTGGGATTCCCAAATTGTCAGATGAAGGCGGTAGGTGTCGCATCAGTCACGCACGGAGCGAATAAATATATTAAAAAAAAATTTTTATTTAAAAATAACTATATTGTCACTATATATGTCATTGTCATGGTTTGATTAATGGACATATATGAATGAAAATACAGTTACTTTATGTGGAAAGCAAACCAGTAACAATAGTTTTTATTATAATTTATTTAATTGTCTATAAAAAATATAAATTAATCCAGTCAGCAGTTTGGCTTAAGCACATATGAATTTTTAATGTTAGGATGTCAATAGAAAATGAGATCTTGACGGTATTTATTGATATGTTAATATGTAACAATAAATGTTGCTTAATTTGTCAATATCTGATCTTCTATTTACACATTTTTTATTTTTTTGTATATGTGTCATTTCTAAAAATAACCGTTTCTGTTCATGTTTCTGCCTCTCTAGAATTGAAGCTTGTGAAAAATTAAATGTGTATATTTCTTTTTATAGATGTCTTGAAAAAGAATTAAATAAAATTCGAAAGCTTGACAGTATGTCAAAGAGTTTTCTTTGTCTTGTGGGCCAAATAAACTGACTGCATCCTCAAAATTCATAATTTATATTTAAATCAACAGTCAAGAATACCACCATCTTATATATATATATATATATTATATATATATATATATAAATATATATATATATATATATATATTTATATATATATATAAATATATATATGTATATATATATATATATATATATATATACGTCTTCATATCAAGGCGAGATCCGATTAAATCGAGGACAACCCGAGATCCACCAATAGGAAATTAATTAATGGAGTATATTGTTCATAACTATCTTTATAATTAACATATTAATCATGGCACACCTAGAGGGGAAAAGATTTTTGAACTTAAATTTTTTTGATAAATTTACAACAAAATGAGATCCGTAGCTGAAAAAGGAAGGGGAAGACTTATATACGAAATTTTAGATATTTACAGATCAACGCGAGATCAGACACTGTTGCCAGCTCTAAAGAGTATTAGTCGAGCGACCGGAGCTCGTGTTGTATTGCATATTTCCTACTCAAACAGTAAAGTTATTTACGGTTATGGTGTTTTGTATTTTAAAAATATTGCAAGGGCAGAGGTCAGTTGAAGTAGTGAAACAAAATTCAAAGATAACAGAAGCTAAGTAATGATTATAATTTTTATGTATATTATTAAATAATTCAACATAAACTTTGTAAACCGAATTACTAAAATGCTCTGTTTTATTGAATTTGTGAAATCTATTCTCAAAGCTATTTTTGTTTATTATTTATGTACAAAATTAAAAAGGGGAAATTATTTAAACTAAACAGTTTATCTGTACCTACAACAAAAGATATCATTTTAACATTCTACTCGTGTTTTAACATAAAAATATTAGTTTTGTACAAGAGTAAATACAATTCCATACTGAAGAGTAAATAAGACTGGAAAAAGGCTTCTAGAATAGATTTTGGTGGGCACTTTGTTGCTAAAATGCAAAACCTATTTTTATTCGTTTCTAATATCTTTCTAATGCAAAATCACTTGGTCGTCCAAAAATCGTAGCGCGAGGGGAGTGGTGGAGAGCCTTACAAAAAAAATGCTAATTTGTTTTTCGTCATTTTTCGGATCTACGATATCCGAAAATTCATTCTTCAAATTTGCATATCGATCCGGACATTAGAAATATTTTTATTTTATTTATAAAAATACGTCAAACCATTGTTGTATACGGAGTGCCTTCATACAAAATGACTTAGAATGAGTCTGAAAACCCATATTTTTAAAATCGTTTCTCCTCGATCTACCCCGAAAAATATTGGGTCTAGCAAAAAATGGCTTTCTATAAAAGTTATAGACCAAACATCAGAGAACATGTCGGATTGTTTAGAATGTCAATTGGATAAATAGTTTAAAAAAAAATTACATAAATTGAACGGCATGTCACGACACACAGTGGCAAACGCACAGATGCGAGCAAGGGCGAGATTCATAATCTGAAGTCAACCTTAAATCGACTCTAGTGATGGCGATGTTAGGGTCGATTTTACATTGAAATTCTGTTGTGTTGTATATTCGATTGCCAAAGTGCATCATTGTGCATTATTTTTTACTAATAGCACGAAATCCACTGAGCTGAGATTTTTAATATTAGAAGTTTTAAATTATTTTAATGAACAGCAGCAGGTATGACAGTGAACTTGAGTCAAAAATCAGATTACGGCATGTTTCTTTCCGTAAAGTCCATTTCCATTTTAGTTTGCTGAAAGAAGCGGAAACTGGAGAATACATTTTTGTTCTAGTTTTAGAAAAATGTACCCCTATTTCTTTGCATTTGACCATGTGAACTATTCTTTTTGGGGAACATTATATTTGTTGGACATGTACAAACTTGCTGATAAGGCTCCAGAATTACATGAAGACTTTATGAGAAGAAATTTTGTTGTGAAAAGTTTGAACAGCAACTTTAACCAACTATTTGTAGATCCAGCTTGAAACATATAAATACAACTCAAAAGATGCAGGAGGAATCGTGGGATTGACTAAAACCAACACAAAACTAGACGAATGGTTGTTAAGCTACAATATGATTGGCATGATGGTAGATGAATTTCGTGTATCATGAGACTTAAGCAACCACTCAACTCAAAACGTAGAAAATAGAAAAAAAATAAACGGATGAAAATTAATGAATATTCTGTACAAAAACTACATGATCAGTTTTTTACGATTTAATGTATTTTTCAAAAGCGTAGATCGTCTTCTCGTAATTTCAGCTAATGAGATTGCATTGCCAAATATTCAAATACCCTTACTTAAATAAACAAAAAAAAATGGAGAAGAGTCTAGCAAAATTTCTTCTTACTGTTAGAGCTCCCAATTTTTATCAGCATACAAGAAGTACTTTCAACACTTCCAACACTATAAAACTGTCTCTGAAAAGAAAAAAATTATTCAAGCTGAGCAAGAGCTTTTACAAAAAATACTAACAACCAAGGCAATTGTAAGTAACATAAATATTATGAGAATATTTTCAAATATGAATTTACAGCACATCCAATGTCACTTGTACCTGTAAGAGTTTTATCGATACCATCAAATAAATCTGCCTTAGGTTCTATAATAGGACAGTTTACAGTTATGTCTAAATATCTACCATTACCATTATAAAGTAACAAAAGTGTCACATTCTTGAAGGTATGAGTTTAATCCAAGCCGTTGGCAAACCCTCCAACTGCAAATCATTTGGTGACTATGCAAGAATTTTAAAATCAATAGTGTTCAAGAACCTCTACAACCCTAAAAGGATTGGTTTTGTATTTGACCAGTACTAACAATCTTTGTACTGGTCCATATAAACATATAAACTTTCTCCTACTTCAGACAGTATAATATATAATATTCGTGTACATACTCATCCAAACGAAGGTATGAGTATGTAGCGTGACACCA